TTAAAAATCCCCCCCCCCCCCCCCTCTTTTTTCCATCCTTTTTTGCATCTCAGTTCTGCGGATCTCATACAGCTTCATTGTAGCCACTTCCTGCCCACATGCGTGCAACCCAGCAATGGCTGCATAGCATTTTTCAGGGCAGGTTTCCTGCTGGGTGTTATTACCCCATAACCGTAAGTGTTTGAACAAAGACCTTTATTGTAGGATCATCAGGTATTTTAGAAAAGATGCAGATTTAAAACTATTGAAAGGAAGTTTTGAAATCATGTGAGCCTATAAAGCAGTGATTGGATTTCCATCTACTTAAGCTACTTTTAGCTATATGTTGTCTTAAAATTGAATTGCAGAATCTATTGTCACAACAGCAGAGTTTTAAAATGAAAAAGATTGTGGACCGCACCAGGAGCTGAACTTTGACGTTCTCGAAAAATGTCATCTTTGTAACATCTTTATGCTTAGAGGATTTTGTCAGTTATATTTAAGGGCAAATACTGTGCTAATTACTAAATACAGCAGCAGGAAACATAATAACTTGATAATACATATTTTTAATTTCCTTTTTCTTGTTAAAACTTAACATAGTTGAATACATATATAAATATTTTTTTTAAAATTCTATCAGGAACATGTCCAGAGAGTATTGATAAATGGCTCATTTTCAGGTTGGTCTATTGTTGAAAGTGGCGTGCCCCCGGGTTCTGTGCTAGGCCCCATACTGTTTAACCTGTTCATTAACGATATTGGGGAGGGTGTTTAATAGTCATGTTTCTGTGTTTGCCGATGATATTAAAATTGGTAGGGTAATAGGGACTTAGACACTATGGCATTACAGAGGGACCTGGATAAAATAGGGGAGTGGGCAACTATATGGCAGATGAGGTTTAATGTTGGAAAATGTAAAGTAATGCATTTTGGGGTCAAAAACAGGCAAGAGGAATACATATTAATGGGAACTCCACTAGGGAAGTCAGAAATGGAAAAATATTTGGGGGTCATAGTAGACCACAGATTGAATAATAGCTTGGAATGCAAGGCTGCAGGATAAACAAATCGAGCAGAGTACTGTCTTGTATTAAACAGGGAATGTACTGTAGAGGCAAAGCGATAATTTTGTAACTTTATAGATCGCTGCTTCGGCCTCATCTGGAGTATGCGGTTCAATTTTGGTCACCAATCCACAGAAAAGATGTTCTTGAGCTGGAGAGAGCCTAGAGAAGGGCAACTAAACTAATTAAAGGAGAACTATGAGGTGAGTGCTTTTCACTTACCTCATAGTTCTAGCCGACCTGTGACAATGAGACTGTCACAGGTCGGCTCAGTAGATCGGGAGGTGAGCGAACACATACCGGGTTCGCTCGCCTCTCGATCCTGTCACGGCTCTCTGCCGTGACAGGGGGAGGGGCTGGATTCCCCTCTCCCCGCTCCGATCTGCCAGCGCTGACTGGCGGAACGGATGGGGAGGGGTCGGGTACAGCTGGGTCTGCCTCTAGGTAGGCAGAGCCATCTGTCACTCACGCAGCTGGGCGGATCCCGTCATCTAAGTCGGGATCCGCTCCGGCTGCGGCTTCTCAGTATACCGCGAGCTGTAGCTCGCGGGATACTGAGCTTAGTGTAACGGGAGGAGGCTAGTTTGTGTCCTCCCGTTACCCTGAGGAGAACTATGGGGAAAAACACTGACCCCATAGTTCTCCTTTAAGGGGCTGGAGGACTAGAAGTTATGAGACAAGGTTACTAAATGTAAACTTGTTCTCGCTGGAAGTGAGGAGATGAAGAGGGGACATGATTTTGATGTACAAAATGTTTAGTGCTGATGGCAACATCGGCAATAAACTGTTCACAGGAAACTTCATAACAAGGACTAGAGGCCACCACCTAAAATTGGTGGAGAAAAGATTTAACCACAAGAGGCGTAGGGGCTTTTTTCAGTTAGAGAAGTTAGTGTCTGGAACTTGCTGCCACAAGCATTGGTATCAGCTGAGAGTATTGAATCATTCAAAAAGCATTTACTGTAGATACCTTCCTCAGAGACCGTACAATACAGGGGTACAGGTACTCTTAAAAACTAGACCACACAGGGACTCATGTACACACATACACATACACATGCACAATCACATACAGACACACAAAGGTTGAACTTGATGGACCTTTATTAAACCTCAAATACTATGTAACTTTGTAAAAATGTAAGCCCTTTCAATTCTTTCAGAAAAAATACAAAATATGCTACAATTGATTACATGAGCAAAAAATATGGACAAATAGCTGTTTTATTCTACAAGAGTTAACATGATGTGCTCCAGAAGTGGCTTAGACCATGGCCATGCTTCTCTAATAAAGCAAGTGTGCACCTTTTTGGCATTTCAGTCTTCTCCTTGTTTCTGTTGTCCCACTGGGAGCTGGATTAAAATTTTCAAAAGTCTGCTGGTTACAGATGAAATTTAGGGATCTTTCACACCGTCTCGTTTTGGTAAAGCACGCAGTAGTGAGCACTTTACCACAATATGAATCAAAGCACATTATGTATGTTGGTGCGACGCGGTCCATTTGAATGGCACCCCAAGGCATCTTGCCTAAGGACGTGCATTGCAGTGCTGTGTCCTGCCAAAAAAATGGTGCTTGCATTCCTTTTAGATACTCATGCTCCCGACTTACATCAGGTAATGTTATACTAAAATACTTTTTTTTTGGTTTTTACTCACACCTGCCTCTTTAGTACATTGTGTCCACAAACATACATTTACAGGGACTAATATCAAAAGCTCTGCACTCCCTCTAAAAGTTGCAGCTCTAACCTAGTAGCTTGCAGGGGTCAGCACGTATTGGGTACTTCTCAATGCATGCTGAGAATGTTTTCTGTCATATAACAACTAAACAGTGGGCTATCTTCCCATCAAGCATTGTACTGCCACTTATCCTCCTCCCGTCATAACACTTACCTTGTCTAGGACGGTCTCCAGGACATTCGTAGAATTGTAGGGGATTGTTTTATAAGGGTTGCTGCCCCTACCAGCTATAATGAGTTGCATAACATTTATTTTTTATCACCAAGGCACAAATATTCTGAATAACCAAAATCGGCATAGTTGATGCTTCATTGGTTTTACTATTTTGTTTTATGCAAGGGGTTGGCCATTTCTAGGAACTATAACTTTATCTATATACCTTCTTTTTTTTTATATAGAGTGTTGAAAATGCAGTATGTGTGCTAAGAAACCTGTCCTACCGGCTGTATGATGAGTTGCCACCATCTACTCTGCAAAGGCTGGAAGGAACCCAGCGGGGACGCTCCGCAGCAGGAGACACTGTGGGTTGTTTCACTCCTCAGAGCCGCAAACTGAAAGAGGTAATTTCATACATTTTGTTACCATGAATTTTTGGACACAATATGCTTAGAGACCCTATTAACAAGTTAAAGCGGACCTTTACACTCAAAAATCAATTTCTGCCAATGCATCCCTCTATGGCGTAGTGGTTAGTGCTTCTGCCTTGCAGCACTGGGGGTCCCGGTGCTGGGGACTGGGGGTCCCTGGTTTGAATCCCAGCCAGGTCACTATCTGCAAAGGAGTTTGCATGTTCTCCCTGTGCCTGAGTGGGTTTCCTCCGGGTACTCTGGTTTCCTCCCTCACTCCAAAGGCATGCTGGAATGTTAATTGGCTCCTGTCTAAATTGGCCCTCGTATGTGAGATAGGGACCTTAGATTGTAAGCTCCTTGAGGGTAGGGACTGATGTGAATGTACAACTATGTAAAGTGCTGAGTAAATTGTCGGCACTATATAAATAAATGTATGATGATTTAATAATAACAGACATGTCAGGTGTAAAATGCTGTGATTTTGAAATACTTACACTTGCAGAGCAATCACTTCCTGCTTTGAAAGGGCAAAATGACTTCAGTTTGCCAACGCAATGCACACTGGGATTGCCTTGTCATCAGCAGAGCATTGCTGGGAAATCTCATCTGTAAATATCTGAGGAGATCTCAGGGAAAGGCATTTTCCTCCCCTGAGATGATGTGCATGGTCATGCATGTGCCAGAAATACAGGAAGTAATAGGAGAGTTAGTAATATTCCCTTGGTAAACATGGCCACTGCCAGAAGACTGGGGAAGAAAAGAGAAATAAGGTATGTAAAGAATACAAAGCCGGCAATTATCTAGAAGTATCTGTGTGTAGATTGTCATTACTAAACCTTTCTAAAGGTGTGTTTGTTGTTATTTTAAAGATTTGGGTAAAGGTCCACTTTAACCATACAGATAAAAGCTTGCAGTGTCTTTTCTTCCCATAAATTATTTGAATGCACTTGCAATGTGAATTTAAACTTACTAGAACATGTGACTACTCCAGGAGATTTAATTCTCTAGTACAGTCCCCTTCCTCCTTGCATGTCTTGGCCATCTTCTCTTCTGGAAATGACTGGCTGCGCTGGCCCTGCTCCTCTGCCCCTCTGCCCCTTGCCCTTTCCTCCATACATACCCCTTTATTTAGCTGCTGAGGAATAATTTAAAATGAAAGCTCTGGGTTAGGGCTGATATCATGATATCACACCCAAGATGGTGGCACCCAGGAGCAGTCTTCTGTAAATAACATGCATAAAATACAGTAAATGCACATATAATCTCATGGGAAGATTCTTATTGCCATAAATGGTCTAGTGACAATAACATCTGCCCCGGGGAAAGGGGGGGGGGGCAGGTGAACGGAGCTTTGCAGAATATTGGGTGGGCTAACCCTTAAATAATGGTCCCCCACACAGGAGATCTTTGTTTTACATTTTTGTTGCTCATTCACAGACTTACACTGTACATTGCTCTCTCCCACAGCAGCAGCAGGGCACAGACCTTTCCACTTTTGCAGAAATCTCCAGGGATCCAAAGGGGATGGAGTGGCTGTGGCATCCACAGATTGTCCATCTATACAACCGACTACTGCAGCAATGTGAACTAAATAAACACACAACAGAGGCGGCAGCAGGAGCTCTACAGAATATCACAGCCGGAGATCGCAGGGTAAGCCAAGTCCTGATCAGTAGGAGCAGCTGATACATGTACAAGACCTGAAAATGGTGTCTAGTATTTATGATCTCATCGTTTTGATTCTGAATAAACTGGCCTGTGTAATTATTTTCTAGTATATGGAAGGAAAAGCCCTAATGAGGAGTAATACAATATAAATGATCAACACAATATTCTATTTTTTTTATTTTTTTTAGCATATCAATTTTTATTGTTATTATAGCAGGTTACATAGTGATGAATGTATTAGATGTAGCAGATGAGGATTGGAACTAGGGTTGCCACCTTTTCTTTCGGCGAAACCCGAACACTCTTGCGACTCACAGAAATTTTGGCGGGGAGAATAAGTTGCTTATTCATATGTAAATCGCGCCACCCATTCATATGTAAATATCACAGTTAGACTATTTTTAGTGGGGGGCCAGTAGCCCCTATCTTAATTTTGGTTGCCTCCTGTCTGCCTGACATCTTGTGTCCGGGTTTCAGCTGCCATGAAACCCGGACACAGCATTCAAAACCCGGACTGTCCGGGTGAATCCAGGACAGGTGGCAACCCTAATTAGAACATGAATGTTGTATGATGCAGAAACAGATAAGAGATATCCTTTTGACAGAACATAAGAGTCAGGGTATGAGAGATACCATTGGAAATGTGCAGCTTCAGGGGTTTGTATGTAAATGTGTGTTTTGTGCTTTACCAGTGGGCAGGCATCATGAGCCAAGTGGCACTGGAACAAGAACGTATTCTGAACCCAGTCCTGGATCGTTTGAGGACTGCAGATCACAGCCAGCTGCGTTCCCTAACAGGGCTCATCCGCAACCTGTCAAGACATGCCAGGAACAAAGATGAGATGTGTGAGTGCTCAAGCATCTTCTTGCTTCTCTTGTCAATGCTACATTTGTTTACATATCTCAGCTTTTCATTATGCTGACCACATGTAATCTATTATTCTGGAGTCTTGTTGCACTAAAACAACCTTTCTTGGGTTTAGCCTCCAGGCAGCAAATAAAACCAATTACCTATCTATGCAATTTAGGACATTTTTAAACTTTAGTACAGGGGCAAGTTTATTTTATTCTGATTTTCCTAAACATTTTCAATGCAGACACGCCGAGGATGTGCTTTTGCAGTGCTTTGGACTCTTGCAAATTCTGTGCTGTGAAATGTCCCTTCTGAGAACTAAATCTCACTGCATGTATTCCTGCTTGCAGAGTTGTGAACGATTTCTGTATTAAAGGAGAACTTGACCCACCAATGTAATGTCTCCTACAACGGTTTCATGGCATGCCAGTTGTCAAGTGTGCTTTTTTCTGCTCTCATTGACCTTTCAAGCCCTTGAATGGCTGGTGTCGTAGCCAGTCACATGTGCAGTAACATGGCAACTGCAATGCTAACAGAGGCTAAGATGGCACCTTCCTTGGCTTTAAAGCAGGGGTAGCAAACCTCTGGCCCTCCAGCTGTGGTGGAACTACAAATCCCATGAGGCATTGCAAGATTCTCACAGCCACAGACATGACTGCCGAAGAGAGATGCATCATGGGATTTGTAGTTTCACCACAGCTGGAGGGCCGGAGGCTTGCTACCCCTGCTTTAAAGGATAGGAGGGTATAGTTGTGCTTTCCAAATCACAATTTGGAGAGTAGAGAGACTCTCTGGTGGGAGTCCTGTTCTTCAATATTACAGCCTGAATCTAGCCCAGTGCATGGACAGCTTTGGCATAAGACTGTAGGCATTAGCCGCAAAAAAATTATTTAAGTCAACTTCAAAGCGGGATTGATGTTCTTCTTTAAAAACGGCAACAAAATCCAAGTCCCATCCGCACTCCTACGGTCTTATAATTCAAAAGGCATCTGTGGTACTCAGGGTAACCACACGGATGGCGCCGTGCAAACATAGTCACTATGTCGCTCTGAAGAAGGATCCCTGCGTGGACCCGGAACGTCAGCACTTCATGACGCTATGTGACATTTTGCACTTTATTGAATATATCGGGATTTTGATATTCGATTCCCTGAGTGTGTGCGGTGAAATGTTTGAACTTATCTTTAAAAACAGTCTTTCTAGCCATGACTACTGGCATTGTGTAGTAAATAGGTTCAAAAATAGATCTGACTGCCTCTAGCAGGTCCAGACTGAAAGTTTCTGTGTCTTGGTATGACATCTCTTTATCTTGCCTTATCTTGCCTTGCTTTTATTTGCATCAACAAGATTAGAATTTATAGGTGGACTGTGGTCTTCAAGCCTTGCTAATTATGTCATTGATTTTACAGCCACCAAGCTAGTAAGCCATCTGCTGGAGAAGCTGCCCAGTGACAGCAGTGAAAAGAGTCCACCAGCTGAAGTCATCGTGAATATTGTCGCTGTGCTCAATAACCTGACTGTGGCCGGACCTGTGGCAGCACGGGATATAGTATACTTCAATGGGCTCAGCAAACTCATGTACATCAAGAGGAATCGAGAAGGGTAAGCGGTGGAGGGACTGCTAGGAAAGAGAAGTACACATGACATTGTTTAGAGCTAGGCCTAGTACCAGAACAATAGGTGGGATATGGCTGGTAGCAGTAGAGAACTTACTAATACTTATGTGTTAGTTGATTGGCTCACTTTTTTATTTTAGCATCTTACTAAGTACTTTGTAATTTTAAAATATATAAAACACATTAGACAAGCAGTGCAAAAAATGCAGGTAAAAGCTTGCACTGTAATGAGATGGTGTAGTGCTGGATCAAGATTTTCCTGGATATTTACATCTGTTGATATTTAAGAGGCCGCTCTCTAAAATCTCATGGGTCCAACGTGGAGGAGCCCAGTATTAAGATGGCTTTGTTTCTTGCTTGCTCGCGCCCCCTAGCGCGCACGTGCAGGAAGACCCGCACGTTTTTACAGCCGTTAACGGCTGTTCCACATACAACCGATCAGCGGCTCTATAGCTGAGAAGAGAGAAGAAGCTGATGAAGCAGATCTCTGCTTCATCAGCTTCTTTTGGGGTCCCCAGGTGGCAGGGGTCCTAGATACCCCTAATATCTCCATAAAGAGGACCTGTCAGTGTGCCTTTGCTAATATATAGGGGGATTGTATATATAGGGGGAGTGTAGAAAAATAAATATAAATAAAGTTAAAAAAAATAAAAGTCACAAATAAAAAAAGTAAAGTCCCCCCGCCTTCGTTTACGCACATATAAACATAAATACGCAATTGCACTACACATGTTACATATCGCTGCGAACTTCGTAGTGAGAGCAATCATTTTAGGGCCATCAATCACTGATGACACTAAACTGATGAGCGGCAAAAGCTTTTAAAGCATCGCCTATGGCCAATTTTGGGTAATGTAGTTTTTTAAGGTTTTGCAAGCGTGCGCAATTTTAAGGCTTGACATGTTTGTTGTCTTTTTACCCGACGTGACCCCGACTTTTATATTTTACCAAAAAATTGGGTAATAATGTTTTAGAATTTAATATAGGGGAAACAGGTTTTTTTTTTTTTTACATTATCTGTAATTTTTCCTTAATATATTAAAAAATAAAAACCCCAGTGGTGATTAAATATCACCAAAAGAAAGCTCCATCTGTCCCTAAACAAGGGTATACAATTCATTTCAGTACAGCGTTGCATGACGGAATAAATGTCAGTCAAAGTACCGCATCGCTGAATACTGAAAAATGGCCTGGATGGGAAGGGGGTTTAACACCGCGGACTTCAGTTTTTGTTTTCAGTTCAGATCTACTCAGATGAGGTTCTTTAATTTTTGGGGTTAAAGTAGTAAGTTTAGTAGAATGAAAAGAGTGTCTGCTGTAGATTTTTCTAGCTTAGATTTAAGAGCCTGTTCCAGGTCTGCCCAATGGGACAGAGATGGGGCAAAACACAACAGCGGTTTCAACACTTCCTTTCTATAGCCAAAACAGACAAAAAATGGTCTTTAGACCTACTTTAGGCCAGAACCGAAGAAATCAAACTTGGCACAGAGATTTACGGGGAATAAGAAGCCGTTAATTTATAACTAGTTATTGTCTGTTGGAATAAATGCCAGATAACAATATATTAAGGTGAGCATGTCTCTTCTTTAGTCCAGACAATGAGAAGGCCTCCCGGGCAGCCTCCAGCCTCCTTACCAACATGTGGCAGTACAGCAAGTTACATCGTGACTACAAACAAGTAAGTAGAATTTGTACATCACTTTCACATGTCAGTTACCCTCCCCTGTATGTTTTCTCCTATAATGTGTCCTGTTTAAAAATTAAAACAAAATTTTATAATTTTGGTGCAAACCTTTACAAGGTTTTGTACATTTGAATTAAAGATTTTTAGGTTTTTTTGGGGGGGGGGGGGGGGTTTGTGACTTTAAAAAATATTATTGAAAACTAATAAAAACACAAAAATAGTTTTAAATATACAAAATAATTAGCATGAACCTAACTAAGAGAGGAGAAGGGGAAGGAGTTATTATGGCTGATTTTGGGGTAAACCAGCCTTTCTCAAACCTTTCAAGTCTTTCTGACTCTGATGTGTAGGGGGGCTTCTGATGTGAAGGGTCCCCCCTTAAAATCCATCCAGACTCCTGTCTAGGATAAGGCGTTGGTATTGGTTTTGGGAAGAAGGGGGGGGAACCACATGTCCATTTTTTACATTGACGTTTTTTACATTTTAGACAGGGGTTGCCTTGAGATTTTGCATATTTTAAAAGGTGCCGTGACTGGAAAAAGGTTGAGAAACGCTGGGGTACACTATGGTTTCAACTTTTTTTTTTTCTAGGATGCTTTAACTTGCATCATATGCAGATCAAAGGTCACCCCTTTTGATCTGTAGATGAATAGTAACTGTAACAATAATGTTATTTTGTATCTCGGATTCATAAACATTATTGGGGATGGTCAGTGGCTGTAATAGTTACTGTCTTACTGTCATTTGATAGCAGGTAATTGCTGGAAAATGCTGCAGGGAGAGGAGGGACAGGGACTACATACGCACTGTGCATTTCAATTACTTTTTTTTTTTGGCTGGAGCATGCCAAGTGTCCACAACTGGTTAAAAATGCTGCGAGTGCAGAAAAATTCCTGTTGAGGCTACCAGAAAACCAGAGAGCTGACACTACTGCTTCTGCTGCTCTGAAATCACACTCATTGTTAATACTGCTGTACTTCCCCCCTCATGTCCGATCCATAAGATGGTCAGCAGAATTTCATTCTGGGTACACACAACTTGGGTTATCCAGCCCACCGCCAGTCTCAGAAAGGAAGAATTCCAGTTGCTTTCCTGGAAGACCTTACATGTGCCAGTCAGTTGAAACAGACGATCCAGCCACTCACGGTCTCCTCCCTATGATTTGTTTCACCTTGTAGGCGGTTTGACCAATAGACTCCATGACTAACTCGCCTAAAGAGCTTGTGTCAACAGGCTTTTGTCAGAACTTCTTCTCTAACAATACAATTCCATGGGAATACAAAAGCAGCTTGAAGCACCTGTCCATAAACTTTTAATATTCTTAGAACCATTTTCAATTCATCTCAAAGCAGAATACAGCTGAAGGCAAGCTGCATTTGCCCATTGACACAAGCTGAAGGCATGAAACATGTCACAGCAGGAGCCAGTTTGGATCTGGACTGACTTTCGCAATAAATGGTCCTGGCATCGGTACTACTGGGTCGGGTAACAAATGGGCTATTGATGGTAGAGAGGTTACATCTTGGGCAACAAAAGGGCAAAATGCTTCAGTTTCACGTACTTTACATACTTTATAAAGCCAACATATTCTGAATCACTTTACAGGCTGTCCCCTCAACATCATTTCCTGCTGTAGTGGAGTTTACAAAGTGATGTTTCTACCACACATAGACACATACCAGCCTGTGTAAAAAGTGATAGCCTATCAGTATATATTAGCATGGTCAAAGGTAACTGAAACGTGTGCAAACAAATGCCCGGACAGAATACAACGGCTCCAAGCTAGAAGTACTACTGGCATGCTCTGATTCCAGGAGCCCATTGCTGTAAGGCATCTGAGATGATTACTAAACCTCCATTCCCCCTAATCAAATGCGTCTTCTCACAGAACACTTTTTTGTTTTACAGAAGGGCTACCGAAAGGAGGATTTCCTGAGCCAATGATGCGGCGCCAACAGAAGATCAGCAAGAAAGCACTGACCGATGGACTACTTCCCTAGCCCTTCCTACTCTCTCTCCTGTTTACCTCTATGCACTCTTGAAATGGCACAGCAGAGTTCGAGGGGGGACAGTATATGTAGCTAGGTAGATTATCAAATAGAGTTATGCATGTGTGCGATTGTATTTTGTAAGAAAATAAGAAAAGGAGAAAAATAAATGCAAATTAGTCCACGGGGATTGTATGTGAAACAGAAACTGGGTGAATGTGCGTGTCTGGGTTTGTCGGTCTAATGCAAACGCGTGTACTATAACAGTAGTGATAACCCAGTGCCTTTCTACCTATTGTTAGACCTTAACACCAAGCTGGCTGTGCTGGCCACTCTTGGCTTTAGCGCCTCTTTAACCCTTAGGCTCTGTTCACACCTAGGCAGATCCAATATGCACGTTTGTCGCGCGTTTCGTGACGTGCGGTTTTACCGCGACAAAAACGCCGCAAAGAAGCTCATGTACCTTTTCAGGCGTAGGCCGTTTTGTAGCGTGTTCAGGCGGGCTGAAATACGGCAAGGTGTGAACCATACCCATAGAAAACAATGGGGTTTTCATGTTTAAGCGTTTTGTAGAGCGTTTGTAGAGCGTTGAACGCGCTACAAAACGTATAGGTGTGAACCAGGCCTTAGATAGGATGCTTGGAAGTAGTGTGTGTCTGGTATATGGACAGCAGTTTATTAGATCCCTTTGACAAAATGATGTCAGTTTTACAGAAGAACCATGCAATGTTCAAGGGCCAAACTGTATTCTGATCATGTAGAGAATTTTATGAAAATGAATTTGGGCAGCAAGTCCCCAGTGTGAGTGCATTTCTGTGTGTGTTGCTATGTACAGATTGGTTATCTCCTTTCCCCATATTGTTTTATTAAAATGAAAAAAATGTTTCTGATGTCTGTAAGCAGTGGTTTCACCCTCTCGGTGAGCACTGCATGTCCCTGTTCACTTATCACAAGTAGCGCTTAAATAGGTTCCTTTTTATTATACAGATAGGGCTGTATAAGGTTACCCTTAGCCCCTTTATATAACGGTATAATGCAGAGAGTATGACTAGCAAGCCATAGCAAATTATCAAAATGTGTCCAAAAGACATCAGTGATCTTTAAAAAAAAAACAAAAACAAAAAAATGCTTATCCAGTGTCTGCATATTACAGAATACATTACTTATTGCATCATACATTCGGCTTACTTAATAAGGCAAAGAGCTGCGGAAAAGCAGAGTATTACATGGTAATGGGCTATCTGGTTGCTATAGGTTACTGAACTTTGCATGTAATCATCCCTAGCACTGCCTTACTAAATAAGCCTGTATACAGCCATTACTATGCAGAATTGGGTTTTTATTCTCAGGGGAGCGTCTCTGTTTGTGTCCTTAACCGACTTGCTCAAATGTGCCTTAGCCCTTCATGGGCTCTTGTAAAATATAGCACAGTGTTTCGGTACTTAATAAAAAATATTGAATTCAGAAGTTGGCGTCTTGTGTTCCTTCTCTGGGGTGGAAGGGTTAAGTGTGGGAACGCTACATTGGAACAGTCCCTCACATTCCTGGGCGGAGGTGAACTCTCCTCATAGACTCGTAAGGCTTTGCTGGGGCATGTTCTATACAGGGATCCCCAGGGGTGAAGACTGCGTCAGACACACGTATTCCTTTAAACTGCTGATGTGTTACATTAAAAGACACACAAGAATAAACTGCAATGTCATTTGATTGTTTGCCCTATTCTGCCATCCTCTGGTGAAACAGCTTTTGATTTTTGCAATAAAAGACACAGGTTTAAAGTAGGGCTAATGAAGAGGAGGTCCAGTGAATACAATGGAGTTGAGGTCAGAATAGCGGTCTGGAGACAACGGTCACTCAGTGTCCTTACCACGGTCCACCATTGCTACACTGCAATGCACAGCTGCTGGTGTGTGTTCCCAGGCACAGTGCTCATGTGGTGATCACAGCGCATTGCACTGCTTTTTTTTTGTTTTGTTAGAACTTACCGCCCTCCATTTACATACACATGCATGCCTTCCACACACATGTTCATTAGAATCAGATGGCGGGGCAGCAGGGTTGGTTTTAATTTTTATAACTTTTTTTTCTTAATGGATTTTTTCTAATAACTTTTGCTATCACAAAGGTGCTAACAAGCCCCTATGTGACAGCATTTGCAGGTTCTCTTTAGGGAGACATCAGGTCTATTAGACCTCTGATGTCTCTCCTGCCCTCCAATACAGACCACTTAAGCACATGCATGTGCTTGATGGTCTGTTTACCCCCATTTCAGATGGCTTATGACAGCTGAAGCAGGAAGCGCTTAAAGCACAGTGCTTCATACTTCAGTGATCACAGAGCAGATCAGGGAATGGACTTTCCCCCGGTCTGCTCCCAATCTCCATCCTGACACTGTCTGCAATGGTTCCGGGCCTAACAGAGGAGTGGAGGACCCGAACACGGTGGGGGTGCAGGGAGGGGGGCACAACAGCAGGCTACTACGGCGCAGGTCAGATGATCACGGTCTGGACAGAACTGCTGCTCGGTTCATCATTTAGTAATGCCTGGTTTAAAGAATAATTGCACTTTTAGACAAAGCGCACTTATTCTTGTTGCCGCCCCAAAGCCCCCACTCCCCCCCACTAAACAATTCAACCATCGCCCTTTTATAGATCTATACTATATACTAAGATCTGAGACCCACTGCTCCGCTGTTTGCTCACATCCAGAGCTGCAAGTCTCCCTCTCCTGACTGTGTCCATCTCCCAGCTGGGAGATGGCCCCATCAAAGGTTATGCGGCTGTCATACGTAGGTGTGGCCAGCAGAGGGAGCACTGTGGTGCTGGATGTAAACGACGGGTAACTGTGCTCCTTGGATCTTGGTAGGTGCCGATCTGTGGAGGGTGAGGGTAGGATCCTTTAAGTTGGAGTGGAGGACAAACCGAATAAGTGCCCCTTGTTTTAAAGTGCATTTATCCTTTAAGAACCAATAGAAAGGTAAGCAAACCCGACATAAATGTTTAGAAACAATTGGTATACATTGTGCTAAATACACTTCAGATTACGTTTGGTATTCTACTTGTCACAACCCTATGCTGCTTGATTTCTCCAGCAAGTGAAAACAAATCGCCTTCTTGGATTACATGAACTGATGCAACATCTCCTGAGAAAGCTGAAACAGGCAAAACGCAGGTAGAGATTGTTCCCTCGGGATGCCAGTGGCAAAAACCTCATGTGAATAATGAAAACGTTTTAATTATACACTTTGATCCATTCCATTGAGTTCTCTTCATACGTCTCCAGAGTTGCTGGAGGAGTCTGCAGGCAGGGAAATCGAATGACTGAAGTAGACAGACTAGAGTAGTGGTAGGAAACCTTGGCACTCTGTGGCAAAACTACAAATCCTATCATGTCTCTGGGAGTCGGAGCCTTGCAATGCCTCATGGGACTTGCAGTTCCACGACAGCCGAATTGCATAGGCTGCCTACTTCCTCCCATGTCTTCCTAGGCCCTCTGATCCCAGTGATGCCCATTAAATGAACTGTGGCACACAGCATAGATGTTCTTGGGGGCCCTCAGCAGTAAGATGAATGTCTTCACATTGTGCAAAACATTAACAGGCCATCATTGGCATTGTCACAGCCAGAAGTGGAGAGCTGTGTGGAGCCATTCGGTTCGATTGGTGAGAGCAGTCAGCTTTGGTGAAACGAATATTATGTATTTTTGTAATAAAGACTGGTCACTGCTGCTCTCTCTCATTGTGCAGAGTGACTGGTCTTGTCTCCGCCCCCTCCTGTAGATTTTTGCAGGCAGCCTGTAATGGGTAGGGCCTACTGGAGGGGGGGGGGGATGGGGCGCATTTACTCTCTCTGCTGCCCCAAGGCCGGGTTCCTCAATGTGCCCCCCTACCTGCCAAACCCTCCCCCTAATAAATGGCAACCAGATGGTTTTTTTAAACCTTTTTTTTAGCACTTTTTGGGGAAAAAAATGTATTCCTTTTTTTTTACTTTTTTTTTTTTTAAAGAATGTTATTTTCTGTTTTTAGAATTTTTTTACTCTTTTTTTTTTTATCACTTTTTATTTTAATTATTTCTTATTATTTTTGACTTTTCACTTTTCATTTCAACTTTATTGCTATCACATAGGAGCTAACAAGCCCCTGTGTGATAGCATTTGGAGGTGACAGGTTCTCTTTTTTTGAACCTGTCGCCTCCAATACAGAAGTTCTAGCACAGTGCTGTGCTGGAACTCCTGTGACAGCTGAGATGGGAAGGCTGCAAGTGCAGCTCTTTCTTCTCAGTGTTTACATGGAGCAGAGCGGAGAACACAGCATATTCATTCATCGTGATGGCAAGAAGGGAGAAAGCCAACGAGGAGAGGGGGGGAAGGAGCTGCACGCATATTACAAGTGATCTCGGCAACATCGCTGGGATCACTTGTACTGAAACGCCAGCTTCTCAGCTGTTTATAGCACAAAGCAACTATTCCCTGCTGCCCCAAGGCCAGGCTTTGGTGGCCTTGAGGGAAATACGGCCCTGAGCCTGCTGGGTCCCTCCCACAGCTCTCCTCTAAGCACAGGCTACATTTTACAAGGCAATAACTGGGTTTCAAAGAATTTTGTGCAGAGAGAAACCTCTCAATTGGCACACAGACAATATTTTAAACGTAACAAAGTTGTATTCTTTTTCCACTCTGCAAAACCGTAACAGTGGTCTAGTATATTTTAATGGGTAGAATGGAAAAATGCAGCGCCCCCTGGCAGTGGGATATTGAGCCATTTCCTATGCTGGGACTTACAGTAAATTCTGCAGCAAAGAATGTTGGAAACCTATCCCATTGCTCTGGCTCACTTTTTATGGCCCAAGAGCACTGTCTGGAAACTCACTTACTTGTAGCAACATAGTAATGGACCCCAAATTCCGTGGTTACACGCCAGGTTAATCGGGGGTCCTACCTAGCCCGGCCCAAATAACACAAGGGTTGCAGGCTACAAGGCGCATAGTCTAGATGAGGAACTTGTCAACACAGATAGGTGGGCCAACCCTCCTTCTCCTAGCCACCACCAGTTTTTTAACCGAGCCCATCTCTGTGTTCATTGCCTCAAGTATAGTACACCATGTGGTTCTCCAGCTACCCCGGTGAGTCCCACTTGGGGAAAGAAAGAAAGCAGTATCCCCCCTAAAGGCTACACGGGGAAAAATGCATTTTCAACGCTCTTCTCTCTAGCTTACCCAGAAGAGCCTCCATCTCCTATTCTACGTTCCCTCTAGCTAGGCAGAAAGGGACCCCTGGAGGGAATCTAAGGGTACTACACCCCAAAGGGCACTAACAGGGCCTTACAAA